ACCTCCTGGTTATTTTTGAAACACCAGAGGGTGCAGAAGAAGTATTTGAAGCTGTTAAAATAGCAAAAGCTTTGTTTCTATCCCCAGAGATTCTGATTCACTATATCTGGGATTGGGCTCAGGAATCTACATTTTTAATAGTAATTCTGAATTCCGTGAATTAGGCTTTGTAAAATACTTCTGTTCAGGGATACAATGGGCAAAGTTTTAGTCAAATACACCCCTTTCACATACTTTACATTCATTTGAATCAGGTGTAATCTGGTCCAGTGTGTTGATTTTTATTAAGAAAAAGAAAAGAAAAGAAAAGAAAAAACCCAACCAACCAAATAAACAAAAATCCTCACAGAAGTATCTAGAAAAACATAGTATGGTAGAAGAGACAAGCAAAAATGGCCATTAGAAGGATGTTTTTAACATTCGCTAAAAAAAGTGGAAGGTTGAATCTAAAGGCTCATGTCAGAGTATTAAACAATTCAGAAAAGTGTACATTATTCAAAATTGGACATAACAAGATGAAAACGATAGTTCTTAGCATTTCATGATATGAAATTGTGAAATGTTGCCATATGAACAACAGGATAAAGCATGGTTCTGAGGGCAGAAGCCCAGCCCCACCCAGAGCCAGTATCCAGCCAGGGAATAGGCACCTGTGCTCCAGGCCACAGGGTTTCAAGTGTATTAGATTCCATGACAGGAGAGGGATCTTTTAATGTCAGAGTGAAGCTCAATTCCTGCCTGGGATGCATTGTAACAAGTTCTGACTGTCCTGGGAATGTCTATATTTAAGAATGATACCCTTAGTTCAAAGTCAAATTCAGTTAAGTGGGTATTTATATTGAAAACAAATTTAAATTATTTTCCATACATTTCATAATGAAACTAATGATTACACCTTCGGCACAAGATTTGTGAAAAGAAACACAATATAATAAAGAACACATTTGCTGTTTTTATTGGTGCCTTGCATGGCAGTAATACTGAAAAAAAAAAAGAGAGAGAATGAAAAAAAACCACAAAAAACAAAAAACAAACAAAACAAAAAACCCCCAAAACCAAAAAATAGGTTGGTGGCAACCCACATCTTGTTTTTTTTTTTTTTTAAGAGTACATAACTCCTGTTTTATTTTTATTGTGGCATGAATGATAACATAAAACCAAAAACATGAAAATATACAACTTATATTACACTATGTGTTATGAACAAAATATAAATCTATAACTCTATGTTATATTTACATAATTATTTATTTTATTAAATTTCAAGTGAGATGGTAGGTTGCACATACTTTGTTTTAAGCTCCAGGCATTTGATTGTCTCTTTTCTATTCTTTTTAAAAATTTTTTACTTGTAAAATCCAAAATGGTACAAAGACTAAGAGCTTTAGAGCCAGTGGAGCTATATAAATACTGTTTTAATGAACCAGTGACAGAAACACTGGGGAGGACAGGAATCAATCAGTAGGAAACTCAACACATCATTTTCAACCTGGGAAACTGATAGTTATAGGGAACTTTAAAATTAAATACTGTAAGCCTGGCTAAACAAACACCTATGCCTATAAGACAAAGGGATATCTGAACCACTTTAAGTGGGCTTCATATTTTTCCTTGCAGACCCCATAAGCTTTATTTTACTATTAAATTGATAGACAAATATTTCATAAACCTGCTTGTAAATATACAGTTAGTTGTTCATTACAATTCAATAATTTGCCCTTTAAAATGACTGAAATACAATCATCTTTGATGTTTTAAATGTGATATAAGAGGTTTCTTCTGAGAATTGTTACAGCGTCTGGACTAAGAAAATATCTGAAAATGGACCATAGAGTGGTTAAAGAATATTTCTTTAAATGATTGAACATAAAATGCTACTCCAGAAATCAAATCTATGAAATAGTTTCATCCAAGAACACTTTTAATATCTGTTTCTCATGGGAGAATTTGATCTTAACAGGGTGATG